AACAACGGGCCCAGTGCCCAAGGCTTATATTTCCAATAAACAGTTTTGAGGCCGGGGTCCTCACAGTCTACCCCGAAGGCTGGGAGCATTACCCAGTTTCGCTTACGGGGTGGGACTACACCCCGCGGGGAACCAAGCCCCAGGACTCTCAGTTCTGCCCGAGTCAAGGAAACACAGTAAGACCCGGTTCATCTTCCTGCTACTAATACGGAGCAGGGGAGTTCGCACTCCTCAAGTAACTGTGGCACTCCTAACGGACCTCTCCTACCTCTTTCTACTGCCCTCCTACTGCGGAGAACTACCGAGCGCCCAGGTATTTAGTCCCTGCTTAATAGCCATTCATCTAGAGTTAATCTTCCTTCTTGAATTCTGGTCAGTTTTCCAAACAACGACCAAGTTCCTGTGAACCAAGCAAGTCCTGCATCTTTCTGGACTGAAGAGGTTACCTTGCGTCTCCAATCTGCTTGGATACTTGATTCAAGCACATCTCATGTCATGTCGCGGTTACCCTTTGTTTTTTTTTGTTTTTTTTTTACAAAAAGACTCTGCTCATTCTTATTACAACAAAAAAGAGGCCGGGAATTCCTCGACAAATCAACCCGGTAAAAAGGAAGGAACTGGTACTGGGACCATTACCCAGCTTAGGTGCAGGCCTTGGGACACTGTGGTCTAGTAGCAGAATGGCCGAATCAAGACCGCTGCCCTGACACATCCCAACCCTGGGAATAAGAAGCCAACATGGCCAAGAAAAGCCGAACACAAACCAAAAACCCACCAAAACAAAAACCCACCAAAACGAAAACGAAAAGGGAAAACAAAAGAATTACCACAGGCCCACATACCCCTAACTGACCATAGGCTACAAAATGAAAGGCCACCATGGCCCGAGAACCAAAAACAAACCAGTAAATCCGCCGAGCCAGAAGGCAAGGGAAATTGCCTCTAGCCTACAACCACCAACCAACCGAAAGTGATCGACCTATCCTCCTAGTTAAACGTACCTAAACAACTACTGCCCGACCTGCTCTGTTGCCAACCCGACTACACGATCCCCACCTAAAACGGTAGGGGGGGGTCCAAATAGGAACCCAATAACTAGCATGACTGCTCCTTCCACCTTCAAACCCACTGCCCATCTCCTGCGATTATTGCTACCGAGCACTAGGTAGGGAGACCCGCTTCTCCAATGTCCTATTCCTACTCAACCAACCTGATACTACCCACAACAGCGCTTTGCTTAACACCACCCCTTGCCAAGGGTTCAGGCTCAGCTGTCCCTGTGGAGAAATAGTAGCCAACTTCTGTTCTTTGCACCATGTCTCGTTGAACCATCGTATGCCATTCTCTTTGTTGCCAGACAAAGACACTTTCCTTCTCCAATCTGCCCAGATAGCCACTCGGAGTTGATTGCTGCAGAATTGTCTGGTCCGTTTGTTCGTCCATTCTTCTTTATCA